GTGTACCCGGCCCCTGTTTTGCAGCCAATCCGCGAGTGCAAGCCACTTTCGCGCCAGTCATCGCACTCGACTTTGTGTCGCAGCCCGTTTTCGCGTGTCCACTGCCTCCCCCGACTCATTCCTAACAGCACCTGCCGGACGACGATGAGCGCGGACATCGAGCGGTACGAGCCGCACATCCGGCAGATCCTCAACGCGCCCGGCGTGGACCTCAGCACGATCAGTGCGAAGCGCGTCCGCAAGCAGCTCGTCGAGATGGACATCGCGCTCTCGGCCGAGTTCGTGCGCAAGCACAAGGAGGATTTTGACCGTATTATTTCGACCGTATACGAGGAGATCAGCGCCGCGCAGAACGGCGCCGACACCAAGGGCAAGCGGAAGAGCCGCCCCGAAGATGAGGACGAGGAAGAGGACTACGCGAACGGCGCGGGCGAGGGAGACGACGGCGAGGAGGAGGTGGCGGAGACGAAGCCGGTGAAGGCGAAGAAGGCGAGGAAGGGCGGCTTGACGGACGAGGACCTGGCGAGGCAGCTTGACAGCGAGATTAACGGCCGTCAACGCACCCCGAGGGCCTCGTCGACGCGGGGGAGAGGACGGGGCGGCAAGAGGGGCGGCAAGCGGGGTGCAAAGAGTTCTGCTACTGTAAATTCGGACGGTGAGACTGTGGACGATGACGGCGAGGTCGTGAAGAAAAGCGGAGGGGTGGTGGGTTTCAGAAGGAATATGCGCTCAGGTGCGCTGCACATCCTTGCTTCCTCTTGTACTGCCTGACGCGAATTTTGCCTTTGTCCCTCAGCGAGCCGCTCATCGCTGTGACGGGGGTGGAGAAGCTCTCGCGACCGCAAACCGTCAAGAAGCTCTGGGATCACATCAGGGGCAATAACCTGCAGAACCCCGAGAACAGAAAGGAGATCGTGTGTGACGACAAGTTCAGGGCGCTCTTCAACGTAGACAGGATTGACATGTTCGCAATGAACAAACAACTCGGTCGGTAAGTGGCACGTCCCCTCCGCAGTCCGCCACGTCTGCTCATGTACATTTTCATCGCAGTCATTTACGGGAGCCCGAGCCAGAGGCATAGTCTTGCAAGTCCTAGCGCATCCATTTTTCTTCGGTTGGGATGGACCGCTAGGCAGCCCAATACTTAGTGTCATTCGCATCAGCATACTCTTTGTCACCGTTCTTTGTGCTCTGAACACATGCCCGCATATTTAGCCCATTCGTTTTCGCGATTCGCAGGCCGAGAGGCCCGCTTCTTCCATGTCTGTATGAAAGTATCTGTACATAGGTCCACTGCTCTGTGCATGTGCGTAATTTGCTACTTGTACATTACTTACGTCTCTGGCTAGCGTGCTGTTGGTGAAATAGTCTTCTTGGCGCAGCTGGGAACTATCTCGCCGAATATGGACCGGTACGTCTACGATAAGTCACTATGCTACAGCACGGCGATAGATGGGTTTGATGCACCGGCTTTTGGCGAATGGAGGGGCGAAGCTTTATCGCAACCTGGAGCAGCAGACTCAACGGTGCCACGAATGAAGCTAAGGGTTGTCATGAGTATGCGCTAGTACGTGCAGACGGTAATAGTTTTACCTGTTGTTACCTATCTGTCGAGCCTTCGCGATTCCGACTAAGCCAGGCTTGATGTCGCTCTGCGTTTCCGAGAGTCATCAGCTTCGGAGCGGAAGGAGCATCCCAGTCCGAGTGACCGTCAGCGACATCCGTCGCGTCGAGCTGGAGACCGGGATCCGCACTACAGATGTGCACCGCGGCCCGGAAGTAAAGCCACATCGTCTCGTGCTCCGGGTACGTCTCCAGGAGGGACTTGGCGTGTGCATACAGCGACGCGCGGATCGTCCGGTGGTCTGCGCGTTCCGCACCGAGCGCGGCAGACGCGTTCGCGGGTAGTGGTACGTCCGCCTCTTGTAGCAAGAGGACGTGCAGGTTGTGGAAATAGTGCACGGCTGTGTAGTCCGAGACGTGCCGCTCGATCCACGTCCGGGCGAATAGAATCTCCTCCAGGAGCAGCGAGCGGTCGGCGTCTTGGGTTGGTGTCGGTGAGCGCGCGAGTGTGATGAGGGCTTCGAGGCAGCAGTAGCGGTGGATCCATGCAAAGTAATTCCGGGGATACGTCTCGCAAGCTTGGGTGACGATTAAAAATTCTGCACGCAGCGATACAGCGGACAGCAGGGTGCGGCGGAGGGTATCCGAGTGCTCTGGCCGGTTATTGAACCCTTTCCCTGTACACTTGAGCGGACTCGGCAGCTGGAGCAGCCATCGTCGGTGGTGCCACAGAAGGCTCTGTTTCGAACTCTCTCGAACGACGAGTAGTGCCGCGCAGAATTGCAGTTCTATCTCCGTGTTAAGCAGGCCCAGAGAGACCAGCTGTTTCCTTGTGTTCAAAGCGGTCTGGTGAGCAGGATTCGCGAGTAATATGACGGCAGTCAATTGCGCGAGCCTTTCCGCGTTGGGCGAGTCATCGTGACTGTCCGAGATGCCTCGAAAGGTTGGCTTGAGGAGTACGAATTCGCGGAGAGCAGTCAAATACGCTTTATATAGTAGTTTGTGTGGTACTCCCAGGTGTCCCTCGACGTATAGGAAAGGACGATGGTCCTGCTGAAGATTTTCACCACCTAGCCAAGCCGATGGCCAGTCGGAACCATCGCCTGGGATGACCTCGATGGAGAGCCTGCGCAATCTCTGATGAGTGAAAGTCAATCGTTGTTTAAATTCGTACTCACGGAGGTGCACAAAGAAGCTTTCCAAGACGAGACAGTAGCACCGCTGGAGTCTGACCGTCGCCCATTTGCATCGAATTGGCGGATTAACATCACTAGAAGGGGCAAAGAAACGTATCTTCGCATTCGATAAGACACTCAGATTGAATAAGAGGTAACGTGATGCATAGTTTCTGTCTCGTGCTCTCACCCGGTCTCAACGTCCAAATAGGCACTTGTTCGAATGGTGAGTGAAATCTGGAGATGGTAGGTGAGTTCATCATCGTCAATTGTGCCGGCCTCTATGTATTCTGGTCGGTGCTGGAGCGATCCACTGGCAACCGCGCGCTCAGTATGTACTAGTGTAAGACCAATAGTAAAATATATCTTGCCGACAGATCTGCTCCGTTTGGCATTGTCACGCTAGAACCTCGGTACCTGGCTCGGTTGAAAGGAGTTATTCGTCCGTGGATTCACATCATCTCTCAGCTTTTCGTTTTGTTCGAACGTATTTTCTTGTTGGTACCAGTGATGGAACCAAGATGAAACTACTGAACCACGTAATCCCAACATGGCAAGTCCGAAGATGATCTGGGCCTGAAAGTACCGCGATCTCGATCAATTGATTTAGCGCCCATGACGCTCAATATCATCAAGTCTCCTTGACCTTTCTCCTCACTCTCCTTTTCCTCCTCCCCATCGTCGTCGCTGCCACCCCTGCCACTGAGCCAACATTATCCTCGAAACATTTTCCATGACGGTAGGCATGTCTGGCATGATATCCATCGTTGCTACTGATGCGATGACAGAGTTATGACGACTGCATAGACCAAGTCTACGAGGCCTACCGGCGCCTTACCCATCACCAGCTTGTCCTCTTTTCAAAGATTAGGAGCCTGCCGCAGAAGGGCACAGACGACGAACTCGCACTCAGGCTAGCGCAAAGTGATATACACGCGTATCACGTCTATCCGGCATCGAATGGAGCGACTTTGAATGGGGTTACGAGCCCCGTCTGCTCGCCATCGCCGCTAGAGGTACCAAAAACGCGCCCGAGGCAGGCCAAAGCCCCTGACCTCCCAGTGGAAGTACTGGCGGAAATCATGGACAAAGTAGGAGACTGGGAGCTCGCAAAGGCGGTGGGTGTACCTACTTCACTCCCCGAACCCCAGGAATGGCATCGCGCCAGCTCGTCCGACCACGCCATCCTGACTGGATACCTGCCCCTCCTCCGCTCCATCAACCCCGCTGCGCACCCCCCAACGAAGCGAGGGGCGAGCCTTGCCGTGCGGTTCTCGTACGTCCACGTCCTCGAGTACTTCTTCACGCAGCACCGCTCCATCTTCCTGCACGTGTACAAGAACGACTTGCTGCCGATTAAGGCCTCGCTGCACGGCCGCGTCGCGGTCCTCTCGTGGTGGAAGCGCGCGCACGAGCAACACCCTGACGTAACACCGCTCCCGTCGCCGGACCACGTCGCAGAGGCAATCGACGCCGCGTCGCGCAACGGGCAGGTCGCCTCGCTCGACTGGTGGTTGCACTCGGGCATCCCGCTTGAGTACACTGAGGCAGCGCTGGAGTACGCGAGCGCGAAGAACCAGCTCGCCGTGCTCGCGTGGTGGAAGCAGCAGGCGACGTCGCCGACGGTGCGGCTGCCGCTCAAAATCGGGCGCGTGATGGATCTGGCGAGCACGGCGGGCCACATCGACGTGCTCGAGTGGTGGGCGCGCTCGCAGCTGGACTTCAAGTACGACAAGCAGGCACTGTATCACGCGAGCTGCCACGGCAAGGTGGAGGTGCTCCAGTGGTGGCTCGGGAGCGGGCTGCAGCTCATCTTCGACTGTGACGCGCTCACGGGCGCGACGAGGCATAACCGTCCAGACGTGCTCGAGTGGTGGGACAGGAGCGGGCTGCCGATACAGTACCGGATGTGCGACATCGAGGAGGCACTCGAGGACGCGATCGGCGGGGGCGAGGCCGCGCGTATGTGGTGGCGCCAGAAGGGCATCGACTTCAATGCGAACGACACGGAGTGGATGAAGCTGCAGAACCTCAACTAGTGGTGTCAGGTGTCAGTAGGCAAGGGTTATCGATGAGAACCGGAGACAGTGGGCGAGCCGTGGACGCTTCTTGTATGGTAATGCTAATCGCGTCTTGTTCTGTCTGCAGTGGTTGTATTTTGCATACACGTAGAGCACGCTTCTACTACGTCTGTCGTATCTTCATCTGCGCATCATGTATTACCAGTCAATTCCGCATACTGTTATCGTATTCTCATGTGCTACCAGCGTCATGGACTGAGCCCCGATCCCGAACTTGAAGGCAGCCCTGCGGTATGAGTGTGCTAGCTCTGTACGTTTGTAAAGGTGCGTCTGCTAATCCCACTTTACATTCCGGGCCTGACACAAGAACGAAATACATTACCCCAACAGATACAACATGACTCGTACAACTCGTCTGCGAAGCTACAAATACAACACAGTAACCGATCCGACAAAAGAGATGCTCGCCCCACGCCACACTTAAGTATTGCAGTCAAGGTCAAGCGCCAGCGTTTACGTTCACCCAATGGAGCGGGAAGGAGACACCTATGAACATACCATGAGCACGGAGTCCTAGCCCAGGTGGTATTCGTGGCCTACCGATATGCGCCATGAAGCGATTGATGTTCCTTTCTCTGTCATCAATCTGCCCGCCGAGACCGTAGTCGTGCGCAAGACCTTGTGCCTGCGCGGCTGCAGGGATGGACGGTAAGTATCACTACTCCGTTGTGCTATTGTGACACACTGACCGCTGTAGTTGAACAGAGATCGCAAATTCCCAGGCCACAGAGTAGACTTCTTGCCGTCCAACTTGAGAACCTCCGCGAGAGACTGGTCGAGGTTGTACGTCCTCAAGCTGGAGTTTTGCCGCCTCGCCTCGCTAGAAGTGTCGTCGTCAGACCACGTACGCTGGCGGGGGATGGGCGAATAGGCTCACGAGTTTTGGAAGGCATGTTTAACCTCGTTGATTTGCCTTCGGCTTTCGTCCACCTGGACTTTCAATGGTATAGGCAGATGCTGGGAAATATGGGCTTTCATGTCGACTTCGACTCGGGCGATGACCTGTTGACGAATCTGCTCTTTGATGTGAAGTCTATATCGGCAAGTCAGCTCTACTCGCGCTCCCGCTGATTTAGTAGAGCGGTGAATGCGCACGTCATCTCCTTCGCAATCTTCTCTTTCATCTTGTCCTTGACAGCGTTCTTGAAGACCTCTATGCCCTTGTCTCGTTTTTCTTGTGCTGCCTTCATCTCATCTTGCAAATCTTTTGCTTGCTTCTTCAAAGAGTCCTGACAGACGCAAACATCACTCGGTCTAGCATTCGGAGCATTTGCACTTCAGCCGAAGCTCACCTTGGTCGGTCCCAATGTGTCTACTTTCGCGGATTGTTCATCCAAGGTATCAAATTGCTGGCCACTGTTGAGACTCAGTTCAGCTGTGCCGTCGAACTGACAGATAATATTGCCTCCGTTTCCCTCAGGTCCCACTTTGGGGCGTTGAGGAAGCCGGAGGGCTACGTACATGGTCGCCAGACTGCCCTTCATCAAACCAAGCATTTCCCAGATCGCCGCTGTGTCGAGCGTCGGGATTGCATCCGGAGATGGAACTGAAGGCCCACTGGCACTACGTCCAGAAACGGGACCGCCGTTTGTATGTACTGCCGCCATTATTGTCGACGCTGGGAGTTTGGAATAGGATAGCTGCGATGATAACCAGTGCAATGATACAAGCGATACGTGGGAAGACGGTGCAGAAAAGCAATGCGGCGATGAAGAAAAGCAATGCGACAATGCAGAGAAGCAATACGATGATGAAGAGAGGGGACAAGACGATGCCAATAAACAGCATTCCCCAGTCTTCCACTTCCATCGATGTAAGACGCTGGAGAAGAGACACGGTCCAGGTCAGGGAACCGGCGAGAGGACTTCACTGCAGACCATGGGAAGAGCGTCGAACCTCTCCGCCTCGCTTTGTCCTCGTTGCAGGGTGCATGCAAGTGAGTTTGGCAGTCAGGGTGATGTTGACATCCGAATGAACTCTATCTGTACGCCTCATGACCAAATCAGCACCACTGTGAGATAAAAATGCCTCCAATTCGATATCGATACAGACAACGATGTCGTACAATGGACGAGAAATCCACATAAATCCTTGGTTGTACCATTACAGCAACGGAGCTTGCCAGTCTACTGGAGGCGCCTGCTGTGCGGGAGGTGCTTGCCCACCATTTCCTGGCTGTGCTTGTTGCTGTTGGGCCTCTCTCCGGATGCGGTCCAGATAGCGCCCCCGGACGTACAACAAGACGGACACTAGGATGCACACTACAACGAGCAGCATGGTCTCAGCGAAGTCGTCGTCCTCGTCGTCCCGTTTGCGAGTAGTGGCGTCGAAGTAGTCTTCAGGCCCGAAATCGCCCTCGCGATCGGCCTCGGCCTGTCTGCGTTCTCTCGCCCACTGGGAGAGACGCTAGTTATCAGCGCGCGGATCGCGATATGAGGGCCGGGAACACGCACCTGCACCGGATCATCGTCGTCCTGACGCACACGATCAACGTTCTGACCATTCTTCTTCCGCTTGTTGAACTCTTCACGGGCCTTCCCAATGTACCACGGTCCGTCCTCGTACTCATCGATCTCGCCAACGGGCTCCCCGGCTGCTGCCTGCGTGTTGTCTGTCTCCTCGCCACCCTCGACGGTTCGTCCTTGTGGTGGTGGAAGACGAGAACGGCCTGCGGCTGTCAGCGCAACCTAGCGTAGATGGATAGACATGGCTTACTGCTCTCCTCATCGTCTTCGCCCCATATGCTCAGTCCGCCGGACCGCCCAGTGAGAGTCCGCCAGAGGCTCCGCGCATGCAACTTCAACAGCGAGATCGAGACAGGGACCGAAGCTTCGCTGTTGGTCTCCAATGCCAAATCGTAGTGACGCTTCGCCAAGTGGAAGTCCTGCACATTCACATCATCAGCAATTCAGAGGTTCGGTGACACTCCTGTTGACACATACCTGAGGGACTCCGATACCGTTCTCATACATCCACCCAAGATTCCACATCGCCAGCGCGCTCATCTGGGTATCGGCCGCGGACTGATAGTAACCCGCCGCTTTCTCCCAGCGCACCTTTTCGGGCTCATCCGCGACACCCAGTCCGTGGTAGTAGTAGTCGCCCACCTTGACCAGAGAGTCGACGTTGCGTTGCGCGGCAGATCGGATCCACTGCGTAAGAGCGAGTCGCGCCGTATCGTTGGAAGGCGAGGTTGGCGCAAATCTCGTGAAACGCAAGATGCTCCTGTCTGTAAAACTGATCAGGTATGGGTGGACAGGCGAGGCAGCTTCCTGCGTACCTTGGTCGAGCACATATGCAAGATTATTCTGCGCGACTTCGTTCCCGCGCTCAGCAGCGATCCACCACCTCAGCATCGCCATCTCATGACCCCTCTCCGTGCCAAACTCCCACAGCTCTGCTGCCTCGTCGAGAAGGTCTTCGTCCCACACGCCGCGCTCCGTAACGACCTTGAAGAATGACACAGCGACAGAGCACGAGCTCCCCGCGATGTGCGGTGTGATCATGTTGTTCCGCGCCTGCGCTGCCTGAATCTCCGCGAGGTAGTGGTACGCCTCGAACGGAGACCCCTGGCGCATCGCTGTCTCGAAGTAGGCCGCGGCCACCTTCACGTCACCGCGCTCTGCCGGGCGTTAGTCTCCTGATGTTCGCAAGAGCGGTATTCCACCCACCATAGTACATCTTGCCGAGGTTGACCGCGGCCTCCGCGAGCTCCTGCCCCGCCGCGATCGTGAAGTGGTTCATCGCCTTCTTCGCATCCTTCTTCCCCTCCACCAGCCCATCCCTCCAGATGATGCCCAGCCCATTATGGCTCTCCTTCTCGTTGAAGTCCGCACCGCGCTCGAACCACATCCGTGCCGTCGCCGCGTCCGCCTGTACGCCCTCCCCGCGCAGGTACATCCGGCCGAGGTAGCCTGCTGCAAGCGCTCCGTACGCGGCGAGCGTCGGGTTCTCCTCACGAATCGTCACAGAGGAGGTGTCACGCCCGTGATCGCGCGACCAGACCTGTCGAGCAATGCGCATGAAGTAGTAACGCGCGCGCGCAAAGTCCCGCGGGATGGCGCTGGCGCCTTCGCCCCCGGAGGCGATCCCACCGGGGAGGGCGTAGACGCTGCCTTGGTAGAAGATCTTGCCCAGCCGGAACGCAAAGTCCGTCTCACCGCGGTCTGCGTTGAACTGAGTGATCGTGGTCAGCAATCAAAGAATATGATCGACTCGCAGCGCACCAAGTAGTATTCCAGGAGGTCTTCCCATGTCTCGCCGGCTGCCTGGGCGCGCGCAGTCTTGATGACTGGCCTACCCGCCTGCAGCCCCGTGGACGCCACGCTTGCGCCGGGCCCGAAGACGCCACCGACGAGGTCAGACAGCTTCGGCGCTGCGAGAGGGAGCGTGCGGCCGCCGGGAGGGCCGGACAGGAACCGTGCCATCGCTGCCTCCACATCAGTATGCGCGGTGTGCACCTCTGAGACAGGACGCACTTTGTTCCGCCGCGTCCTCGTACCACGACAGCGAGTCCATGCAGTTCTCGGCTACGCCGACGCCCGCCCAGTACCGGTATCCGAGCGCCATTTGTGCACCTTTGTGTCCACCGTGTGCTGCGAATGTCAGGTACAATTGTGCCTTCGCCTGGTCTATGGGAACGACACCGTGGTACCCGGTCGAGTGGAAGAAACCTAGCATCGCTTGTGAGGATGCGTTGCCTGTCAGCTGTGCGTGGGTCGAATACGAATGGTATCCCAGTCTGGGTTTTGATGGGAAGTAGCTGTTGGGCGGGGACTGCAGCGACCTGTCAGCTACAGCTAGTAGTTTCACGGAGGCACGCACCAAAGAAATCTGTGCCAATGTATACAATGCGTCTGTGTGTCCGAGGTCCGCTGCATGCTGGAGAAGGTCAATGACCTTGACTGCCTTGCCATGGAGTTCCGTATCCTTCCTTCTTCCCCCGCCTAGTTCCTCCTTCACGTACCCCGTCAATGACGCGGGCAGCCATGAATGGTGCAGCAGCTTCATTGCTATTCGCATCGCGCTTGCAATCGGGCCGTGACCCTGGATGCTAGGAAATAATGACGAGAGGTGGAAACCATTGTTGTTATGAGAGAGGTAGGGGCTCGAGTCCTCAGTCTGAGACGACGGCAACGCGGTTAAGGTGGAGAGCGTCGATATTGCCTGTTTGTAGGCCCTGGAAGCTAGATGCTAATCTTCAGTAAAGCAATTCTTATGGTCATAGTGCCCACACTCACCTTCCGCCTCTGGGTCGGCTACTTGGATACCCTCCTCGGCCTAGGTCAATATATGAGACGGACACGTCCTAGACCATCTTTCAGACACGCACCTTCGTAGTGTCTACCGCGCAAGTGAATGCGGCGAGAGCTATGAGACCAAAGGCAATCAAGCTTGCTTTGCGAGCGTTATGCGAAGCCCTCTTCGCCATCGTCGTGAACGATGGTGAACGTGTTGGAGAGACCAAGTTCAATTGCCAGACACACAGGACACACAGACCGACGTCGAGGCGAACCAGACACGTACGCGGACTTGTCTTATCAGATAGCCCTTTTTTTGGTAAACCCTCGATCATTGGAAAGTAGTTAGTAAATTCTCAATATAATGCACACCACCTCCGACCCGCCGTCACTGTCAGTCCTCTCTCATATCTACTACTGCTGTTTGAACTCATAGACCCTTTTCGTGATTTCAGCACGTATCGTATATATACGACGCGGAAGATGGCACCAACGCGTACGAGAGACGCAGGACTTGCCGCTGCATCAACCTCAAAGGCAGATGGCCAGACAGAGCGCAAGCAAAAGCGGGACCGCAAACACCAGCACCACCGGAAACATCAGGACTCGGAAGACTCGCCTGCTGGGCTTCCAGGAGTGCAGAAGATCAAATCAGCGCTGCGTCAGACGAGGAGATTACTTGCCAAGGTACCGTGTTCGACGTATCTGCGCATGGAAGCGAATGCATCCTGAAAACGGGCCTGATGTTGGTGTAGGACAAGCTGGCCGCAGATGTGCGTACCAAGACGGAGCGAAGACTGAAAGCCCTGGAAGCAGACCTTGTGCAGGCTGAGCAGGCAAGGAAGGAACGGGCAATTGCGCAACGGTACCATGCCGTGAAGTTCTTTGGTACGTTCTGCGAACATGTGTTACTGACGTGCTGTGCGCTGAGCTGGGCGAAATAGAAAGGCAGAAGGTGACCAGAAAAATCCAACAAATCAAGCGGCAGCTAGTCAAAGACGAGAACGGCGAGGGAGAAAAGCTCAGGAAGAAAGAACGGAAACAGCTGCAGAAAAAGCTGGAAGAACTGCGTGTAGACCTCAACTACATCATCGTGAGTCTTCTCCCTCCTGTAACGTCTCCCTACCACGTCCTCACACGTACGCCTCTCCACCAGTACTATCCCAAGCTCAAGAAATACATCTCCCTCTTCCCGCCCGAACTCCGCGCCTCACCTCAGGCACATCCCGACCCGTACCCTCACTTGTACTCCCGGTCTGATACTCCAGACGAGGACACTAAACCGGAGAACGAGACAGATGCGCAACGCGAGGAAGTTCGCGCGTGGGTACGCGAGCGGATGGCTGCTGGCGAGATGAGTGCGGAGCCCGAGGTCGAGCTGCGCGAGCGCGAGCGGCATAAGGACCGCCAAATGACGGCGCGTGATCGGCAACTTGACGAGGGATTGGACAAGGCTAAGGTGAAGGGGGAGCAAGATGCGAGGCCTGCCGTGTTGGAGGGAGACGAGTTCTTCGGGGACGATGGCGGAAGCGAGGAGAGTGAGGGTGGTGGTGATGGCGAGGATGAGGAGATGAACAGCGAGTGATGTTCATCATGAACTGGCTGATCTGCCCCCGTTTCCCATGAATCTTCCAGACTAGTGTGCTGAACGGTACATGCTTCGTGGTCTGGCTTGTTGAGCAGTTGGCCGTACTCCCAATGCAGCAG